AAATTTATTAAATATATCATTGAAATTATAAAAAATTGGTCTTATAAATTCTAAATTATTAAAATTTTAATATACACATTCGAAAGCTATAAATCTAAATATTGAATAAAAAATATTAAAAAATATATAATGCAATATCAATAGATACATATGAGCAAAAAAGAAAATGAATAAGAGCCAAATATATTTTACATAAGCTCGTTCTTTTTATTAATACAAAATTTTCAATTAGTTGTCATTATATATATATATATATATTTATAAATCATGTTAGCATGGTTATAATATTTATCAACAAAATGTTTTAATTTATATAATTATTTAATAATTTAGATGTTTAAAAAAATTATGATTATATAATAAAGTTTAATTTTTCTTATTACTTCAATCCATTTAAATTCTCTCATACGTATTTTTACTTAAACATTTTTAACATAAATTTTGAATAGAATATTAATTTAGTTTCCTAAACGCATATATACACACTTTTGCAATAATCAGTATAATTTGAATCATACTTTTCTTAAATTTTTATGGGCTTGAGAAATTGTTATATACAAATATAATTTTAATCTTTGTTAAAAATTTAATCTTTATAATGTGTTGATTATTCTTAAAGTTCTGAAATCAAGTTAGACCTTTTGTGTTATTGATAGTATATTCTAAATTCATTCTTAAGATTATTTTAAGTGTGTTATTGTTTGAATTTTAGTTTTTATCGATGATTTCTAAAATAAAATCATTCTTTTTTTCTGGAGTCAATTAAAATAATAATAAAGATAATAATAAATATTTTCATTAAAACTTTTTAAAAATAGCAATAATTATTGTTCTTGATAAGTAAAAAGGAGTATTAAATGTTATAAAAATTATAATGACTACTCGTATTCAAATTTTGAATGATTTTAATGAATTTAAATGATAAGTTATAAATTATAAGGAGGCTTTGGATAAGTATTAAATTAACGAAATTATATACTAACATGATCTATAGATTTCTATTTTCTTTAAATGATTTAGAAATATAATTAATTAACAATTTTTTCCATTGGAAAATTGAATGCATTATTTATATGTTTTGTTTTCATATTATATTTTATTTATATATTTTTTTAGTATCAAAATACTTTATGCATATATATAAATATACTTTATATATTATATTTTGTTTATACATTTTTTTGTATTGTCAAGGTTCTTTATATATATTATAGACTGTTCCTTTTTTAAGTAAACAAACAATAATAATAATAAATTGAAACTCGAAAAATACAGGCAGTTGGCTTTATTTAACTAAAAATTAAAACAGCCCTAATTTTTCCAATGGAAATCTTAAAATTATTCTTTACTTAAGTAGTTGTCGTATCATTATCCAACAGCGAAATCCTACATATGTATGATATTACACACACAACATTATTTATGTACAATATAGAAATATTTAAAATACTGATTTCTAAACAATATATTTAACGTATGCTGTTATTTAATACAATATACATATGTTTAATGTATTTATTTATCTTTTTCCTAGTACTTTGGAGAATATTTTGATTATTACATATAACTATTCATTGTATTTTACAGTAAATTTAATTTCTGGCATCTGATAATTTATAATTTTTTTCAGAATTTCTATTTCAACAAAATTAGTAGGTTAATTGTCAATTTAGTATACTGTAAAAAGATAATTAAAAATGAATTGTTAATCAAATGTCATATAAGTACGAAATTTAATTTTATTGGTTTTTTTACTTAAGATATTTAAGATATGCAAAAATAACGATTCATCGGAAATACTTTTTATATAAATTATTTGTAATAACATACATTTTTCTTTTAATTATAATATTCATAATATTTCAATTCCATAATTCAATTATAATTTCAATTATAATAGCCAAGAATCCCAATGCAAAATGAAAAAATAAATAATAAATGTATCATCAGTATTTGTAAATATTTCATTTGTTTTTTTTTTCGTATTGACAGTATAATAATTTTTTTCAATCTATATTATAGTGTCAATTTATAATTTTTTTTATAATTATCTACACAATAAAAAAATATAAAATTGAATTTTCTATTGTGTCTTCTATAAAGTTAAAATTTAAAATTTTCATTATTACAGCATAAAAGTGTTTTATTTAAGTTTTGTATGTTTTGAATGAACATAAATTCTAAATTATGTAATAATAATTTATAGAAAAAAAAACAAATATTCTTAAATCTACTTTAATAGTGTATAAAATATATTGAAAATTTCTTTCTATAAATCTTTCTAGTTTTATTTTGGATACATAGTTAATTTATTAAAAGATAAATACATTTGGTAGAAATCATTTTTTGTTATTGATAATTTTTAGTATAATTTATACATTTAAATTTAGATTCACAATGAACAATTTTTTAACAAATTAATTCAATTTTTCGAAAAAAAATAATATACGAAATTAGAAAGATTTTTAATTTTTAATGATAAACAGTTTAATATGAAAGTGAGGACATCACATTATCTTTACTTTTACTTATAACTGCAAACGTATAATAAACTTCGAGTGCAGAGTGTGCGTATGAACAATATTATGGAATATTATTAAATCAAGTAAGAGCTAAATCAAAAGAAAGAGAAATAGATAAATACACACACGAGCGTGTATAAATATATATATATATATATATATATATATATATATATATACAGGAGAGAGAGAGAGAGAGAGAGAGAGAGAGAGAGAGAGAGAGAGAGAGAGAGAGAGAGAGAGAGAGGAGGGGGAGCGAATAAAGAGAGTCGAATGCATTATTCGTATTTCGTAATAAAATTACTATACTTGTAGTACGTCGTCCAGCGTGAAACAGATCATTACGTGAAAATGCGATTTTTTTCTCTTTCTTCAGTGGCCGACTATTAGTTTTAGAAAGGAACCGTTATATAGTAAACTAATAACATTCAGCTTAACATTCTATATTTATATATTCTAGCATACAGCCAAAATTGTAATTTTTGACTTAGATTGCAAATTATCCTTTTTACTCGTACAAATTTTTATGATTTATTATTTTATGAATCACATTTTTGGTTTGTAATTAAAAAATTTTCATACTGATTAATAGATAATTAATATTGAGTTTCATATTGTTACAAGTGGATAAATTATACATATTGCTGCAATATTTATAGACTTCATATTGACATTTTAATTATATATTTTAAAATAAAGGACACTTCATTTTTTGTCTAACAAATAAAGATTTAAATTTACATTCTATTGACATTTATATTTAACTAAAAAATGTACTCTTTATATTTATAATTAAGTACATTTTTATAGTATATAATTAGATGTATGTCGAATAAAATATTACGTATTTTATTACTACTTTAATATTTCTATTAAATTCTTTTATTCACGAGCAGTATTATTACATTGTAAATATATTGTTAATAAATTAAAAATATTTTTTAATATCATATATCTATAATTCAAATCTATTCACGTGTATGCATTTATTATTTTTATTTATGCTTAGAGCTTTTAAATTTTTTATATTTAATTTCTTTTATCTTAGTAATATTCGAAAAAATAGTTTATATATTGTTTACATATTTATATTTTTATAATACTCTTTATGTTTTATATTCATTAAAAACCGAACTTTACTAATCGGAATTTATTAATCTTTAAATAAATAAAATAAAATAAATGGTTTCTTTTTAATATTTTTTGAGTATATATCCAATTAACTTCAATTACTTTCAATGATAATGAATTAAATAAAATGACGAAAAATTTGTTTACAAATTACATACAATTAATTATTTAAATTTAATTAAAATATATTAAAATATATAGAAAAAAATAACAACAGGAATTATTTTTAATACAAAAAGAAATTTTGCCTTACTTAACATATATTTTTTTCTTTCTCGTGACCTAATAATATTCTGCTATTGATGAATTTAAATATTAATTTGGCTGTGAGGAACTATTAATTATTCGATTACAACCAAAGTAAAGATGAAATATAATATTTTAATTGTATCTTATACAAATACATCAAATAAAAAAATATTTGTAATATAATTTATATTCTTTAGAATGTAAATAAAAATAATATTAGAATCCAAAAATAGAATAACACCTAAAGCAAAAAGATCTTATTTTTCAAAATATTGGTCGCAAATCTTATAATTTAATAAGAAAAATGAATACTTATATTATATAATAAAGTTTTTGTTATTATTTATTAAATGTTGCATTTACGAATCATACATATATATTCGTAGAGTGCATTGAATTATTAAAAAAAAGTTTTTAAATAAAAATGCTAACAAGCTTTGATAGAGAAAAAATGGTTCTAATTAATTGAAATTTATACAATCTATATAAATAATTGTAGTTATAAATAATTGTACAATACTTTAACTAATAATATTTTATAATAATTTAACTAGAGGTTTAAGTATGCAGAATTATTTTTGGTTAAACTATGTTTGATTTCTATTATAAAAGCCATTATAAATATTCCATCATTCAATGAAAGTAATGAAATAAATTTGAAATATATAATAATTATATTTTTTATTTTTTATTTATTGTAGCATTCATAATAAAGTATCACTGTAATATTTACATCTATAAAATATAAATATTTATCTTATTTGTACATTAATGTTAGAAGCATTGAATTACTTTAATAAGTAATTTAATTTTCATTGTCGTGAATAATATATTTAAAATATTGAAATTAAAAATAAAAAATGTTTGTATTCTTTTAAAAATAATTATTTTTATAATAATTTTTAAATTAAACTTATATTTATAATTAGCGTTAATAATTATCTTGTATCTTGAATCTTTTGATCTCATTATCATTGAAATTACAAATTATTATGTAAGTTTTAAAGTCATTAAGTAATATTCAAGGCTATAATAATTTTTGCAATGTTTTGCAGAATGTTGGCAACTCTGCAACAAACTTAGGTGCCATACGTAATATCAGAAGGAGAATCGTGTAAATGTCCATATCTAACAACAACATAACTTTAAGAATAAATATTGGGTTTTCACAAAATATATTTGAAGAGTGTCATCACATTTTCCAGTGCAATAAATTAAATCACTATCTGCATTTTTCTGTAATCGATAAAATTTGCGGTATGTTATCTGTAGAAAACAATGGGACTTTTCAAGATGAGGTGAGTTAGGAGTAAAGGAAATGTAAGATATGTTTTCTTTTACAGGAGCAAAGGTTAGGTGTTCCAATGTTTTGATGATAATTTTTGTTCTTATTGATACATTTTCACGTTTTCATTGAATTTAAGAAAATTATTTTTGTTAGTATTAATTTCATTCTTAAAACGGTATATTTCTTCATATTTTTAAATTTAATTTATTTGTGTTATATTAGTATTAACATACAGGTGAATATAATTGTTAAAATTTCTTTAAATAAAACAATAGCTCAATAAATACGTAGTTAAGACTTTTTAAAATTTAAATTGTTTTTGTTAGAAATATACACGTATTATTAATATAAATAACTTTAAAATAATACTAATGCTATTAATTTATTATTATTACTTAAATTAAAATAATTTGATTTTATATTTAATTTTATTATACATTGAATATGCATTTACGATTCAAATTTATATTTATATCGAAATATTTTTATTTAGTTTTTATTTAATACATTTAATATTTTTTCTTATTGTAATATGTTAAAGGAAACTGGTAGTGATGATGGATCTACAGATTACCCCAAAATTTCTACGTCATTAGATACTCCTAAGGAATGGACATATACTATGAGAAGAAGCATGCAGGTATAATTAAATTTAGTATATTTATTATAATTATAATATAGATATTCAATTCAATTTCTTTATATTTTTCAAATATTTTAAGGAAGTTGTTCGTGGATTATATTTAGGGCCATATAGCGCTGCTAGTAGATCTAAACTTCAGTCCTTGTTAGAGCGTGGTATTACTCATATTGTTTGTGTACGTCAAAATATTGAAGCACATTTTATTAAGCCAAATTTTCCAGATAAATTCAAGTATGTACATAACAATTTTTTTTCTATATTAAATTCCACTTTTCAAAAAAGTTATTATATAATTTACTATAGGTATTTAGTTTTGGATATTGCTGATTCTGCTACAGAAAATATCATACAACATTTTAAAAAAGTAAAGATATTTATAGATGAAGGTCTTAATTCTGGAGGTCAAGTTTTGGTTCATGGAAACGCAGGAATTTCAAGATCTGCAGCATTAGTTCTTGCTTATTTAATGGAAACATATGGATTAACTCAGCAGTTAGTAATCTCTTTTATTATAGTTTGAAATTTAATTATATTTTGCTTTTATTTAAATTAGATTTATGAATAATGCAAAAATTTCAGCGGATACATATATTTATTTACATTAACATTTGTTGTATATCTTAAAAATAAAATGTTATTTATCCTTAAAATTATAATTTAAAATAAAATTGGAAATTAATCGTTTATTAAATAATGTGAAATATTACAAAATTCTCAATATAATATAATTTAATGGTTAATGAAACTTACATACTGTAATTATATTATCATTATTAGAAAAGCATATTCAATTGTACAGCAGAGAAGGTTTTGTATTAATCCCAACGACGGATTTATGGCACAATTAAGAGAATATGAACCTATTTATCAAGCACAAAAGACTTTAAAATATGGACAACAAGCTTCATCAAATCAAAGAAGTAAACGAACTCTTCACATGACTGATAATGAGCATATTGATGACCGACATGATGCAATGGATAGTTGATAATTCTATTAAAGTGCCAAAGTTATCGAGAGACTTATAATAATTAAAAAAGTTTAGATTTAAATTTAAATCAAGATCTAGCGTTTCTTAATTAGCACTGAATTATTAATAATCTATTTTGTACAGTTTACATATTAGAAGCAAATGTAATAATTTTTTTTTTTTCAGATTGCTAATTAATTAAATAATTGTAGATTGAATTAGTATATTTAAAATGAAATAAATTGTAGTTTTTAATAGAAAATCAAATTATATTCTGTTTATTGAATGGAATTAAAACTTTTTTGTTATAGTACAATATTTATTAATAAATTAAATTTATAATATAACACAGAGGTAGTAGTTTTAAAATGAAGAACTAATTTGAAATTTCTATTAAAAAACTTTGTGATAGTATTGAAAAGATAATAATTCTTTAATTTGAAAGTATGCAAGAATACTTAGGGTTTAAAAATTTAATTAGAATTATGAAGGGTCAAATGGTTTTAACTAAGATTGTACGTCTAAAATATAATGAAAAGTGTTTTGACAGAGACTAAGTAGTCTTTATATGTAAAACTTTTCTTACTAGTTTCATTTCGAAAAAAATGTATTACTTTCATAATTAAAGAAATTAAATTTATAAATTGTTCGACATAAAAAAATTCTTTTAAGTTACCATTCACAAGAATTTGAGATATTGTAACATAAATTAATATTATATTTGCAATTCAGTATCATTACATTTTGTGATACAAAAGTACTAATTGGATTGTGGAAACTCATTAAAATGATAATACTCTTTCTATTAAATACTTTTATAATAATATTTATTAAATAAGAATTTACATACTATTTTTAGTAATTGTTATTTCAATTGTAAAAAAAAAATATAAACAATATTTTGTAACTTTCAAAATTCTTTTCAATACCTTTATTCCTTGATATGTAACTATATTTTCATGGCTATGAAATAATTTTTAATTGATAGTCAATTTAATCAATTCACGAGTAGAAGCAGGAAAGTCAACACACCCAATATTGGCACCATTTACAACTTTTAAATCCTATTTTACAACAAAGGGTATTTATAAAAGAATTAATTTAATTAAATTTAGATTAAAATTCAAATTAAATTAAATGTAGTTTTATTAAAAGCCACTTTAACAATATTTTTATATGTAAATTTATTATAAATTATGATAATTTTATATTTATTTGCATTATTTATAATTTAAAACTTTTATAATATATGATAACACAATAATTAAAAGTATTATAAATACACATCTGAGAAGAAGAAAATAAAAGTTTTTATTTTCAAATTATAAATTAAAAATTATTTATATACACGAAATAAATTCATTGATATATTTTTAGCATCGTATTTAATTCCAATAAATAATTAGCAAAACTATGTGCAGGAAATCGTAATAATAAAATAGTATAAATCGTATAAATTTTACAAATATAAATAAAAATCGTATAAGTTTTGTAGTAAAAACAGTAATTTATAAATTCAATATTGTGACTAAAATGTATTGTTATACAATGCATTGTAAATATTGAATTTTGTAATGTTTTTTCAACGTGTTTTTCGTACTATATAATTCTATGTAATGCTGTATAAGTTCATGGTAATGAACATATTCGAGCATATTTATAATTTTGTTAAATAATTATCAAAATTTTCTAAAATAACTATAACAGAAAAAAATCGTAAAGACAAGTAAGATATTAAATTCAAGTAGCAAAAATAAAATAAATAATATACATAAATAACAATATATCTAATACTTCTTTTAATTAAATTATAAAATTATTAATTTTTAATCACAAATGCTAGTAAATAATTCGAAATGCATTTATAATAATATTTTATCGGTTTGTTACAAAATTCAAGTACACATAATTAAAAATTTTAGTATATTATTTCGAATCAATTGCGCTAAATATCCATGAGTAACAATTAACTTAAAATAAAAATAATATATAATTATAATATAGTTATCAATATATACATATAAATAAAAAGCTAATCTTACTCAGTTTTAAATGAAGTCTAATCGATTAATTTGTACAATTTTTTAATTCACAGGTTGGTATTGTTAAACCACAATCGAAAAATTCCATTTTATTAAATTATCCGGCTACTGAGTCTATTAAAAACACTATTTTTTAAAATGAAATAAAAAAAATAATAAGAAGAAAAAAAGCATTTCAATTCATATATATTTAGAATAAATTTGTAAAAACCGTTTTGTAATTAAATTTTGTTAAATTTTTAATGATCAATTAATAATTATTCAATAAATCTTTTTTATTAAAAATTAATTGTGCATGATTTGATAATATATCAAATAAATAAGATGTTTCATGAAATTTTTCAAAACCTAAATTATTTTGCACAATGTATCTTTCGTTGTTAATCATATAATGTTATTAATACAGATATTTTAAACTATTTAAAGAAAATATGTAATAAATTAAGTGATATGATTGTGATGAAATTAAAATAACTGTCATATTTAATTGTCAACCCAAATAAATGCATTTATAATATAATAAGCAATATCAAAATTACGATAAAACCTTATATAAAAATATGAGAAGCTTTAAAATAAATTAAAAAATTACTATTACCATATGAATATGGTAGTATTTTTTTTCTTTTTTAATTTAATTTCAAATCTACCTATTTTGTATTAATGTATTTTATGTTCGTATACTTTTTTATTAAAAATAATTAAAGACTTATTCTTATCTTAATTTATATATACAGATTGTAATTTATTATAATTAAGTAACCATTAATATTCGCAATCAATTAAAGAAATAATGAAGAGTGTTTTATAAATTATTTGATACATTCTTTAATTATTATGAGTTCAGTAGGAATCATTAGACAAAGATTATTCATAATTACAATATTCTGTATTACTTTAAATATTTATTCTTAAATTTTTAAATAAAATTGCGGACTTACTATAATCTCCAAAGTTGATTGCTATTACATTAACAGAGAAGAACGAACGAATTAAAAAACGTATCATTTTTGATGGATTAGAAAATAAGTTGTACATAATTATTAAATTTCAATTCATTTAAATATTAAAGATCCACTGAAAAGCGATAAAAAGTTTGAATCGAAATTACGCATTCGTCCGACTTTGTTATCTTTGTTAGTTTTTCGAGGGTCTAATTGTAAAATCGACTACGAATTTCAGATACTTATTTGTTCTTTGTCTCTTCTTTTATTGTTACTAATGTTTTTGTAATGAATGTTTAGATGCGGATTATTTATGATTTTTTTTATTAAAAATAATGATTTCGGATTACTTTTAAAACTTAAGTAGGTATTTTCAAGATGTTGTTAAATAAAATATATAGAATTAATAAACGACGTATGATATGCGAATTAATACAGATAATATATTATACAGATTTTCAAGTATGAGCAAAAAGAAACTAAAAATAACATAATAAAGGTAAATATATAAATATAATATAAATAAATTGTAATAAAATATAATAAAAGTAAGCAAAGCAATAGTTATCAAATTTCAACAGAATTTTTGTAATAGAGTTTTTTTTTACTACTGTTAGATATGACCAATAGTGTTCAATAAATCAATGTATATTAACTAAAAATATTAAAAAATATTAACTACTTTAACTAGTAATACGAAAAAATATATTTATTAAAAATGTTTTTGTATTTATATATAACCAGTAATTACGTGATTGGTTGCGTTTACAAATTATTGTAGAATCGTTACAAAATAATTGATTAAATTGATTATGCTGTACTGAAATAACAACAGTAATCGCAGATTTCGTCTGTTGCAAGTAAACATTGCTCTTGATAAACTTGAAAAACAAGTATTTTGTGTTCAATTAACTTTAAACTACAATAGGAATTTAGACAAACAAATTTATTCAAGATATAATATTGTGCTAATTAATTTTTTCATTTTATCATTAAAAATTAAAATACGTTTAAAATCTATATTATGAGTTTTAATAAATTATATTATTTGATTACATAATACCATATAATTGAATTCATGGATTTTATTTTATATTTTCTTTGTGTTTTATATATATGAATTTTATGTTATGAATCATTTGTTTATTATCCCTATTTCATATACTATATATTTTATATTTTCACTAAAATATAAGAATAAATACTTTGTTTATTGTTTATTATTTTGCACTTTAATAATTATTATAATTATAATTTTTGTTTGACTATGGTCTTTCATTATTCTTATATTAGTCTTAAATTATTATGTAATGCTACATACAGAATTTATGTTCAACGATTTTTGGGATTTCTATCTACAACGAAAATTAATAACTCTCAAATTTGTTTGCTGTTGTTTTTATGTACTAATTTTAATACAGTAAATTAAAATTAAAATTAAAATTAAATGCAATAGTCATTATTACAATAAATACAAACGTAAATGACATGCTCAGAATTGGAATACGTTTATACTTAAGTAATATATCGTATATAACAAATAATTTCTACTTTAATACTATAATTTAATTATTGAACGTCATACACATGACAAAATATTATTAAAATTGTTTCATTTGATAAATATACGAGTATAGACGCATTCTATATTATGTATTCCCATATGGATTCACTATGAACACAGATAATGCGTGAGCACGTATGCATGCAATACTAAAGGAATTTGAAAATATTTCCATTGGTATTCTTATGATAGGATTTTTTATAGATGGCGTAAGAGTTAAAATAACGGAAATGACGTTTACTTTCAAAACAATGTGTCCACGTAGCTAATACGCCTGCGCAATAGTTTACTGGCTACTCTTAGCAGTTTAGCTGTCGTAATCAACATCAAAAACTAATTGTATCACTAAAGGTTAATAATTTTTATTGTCGTATTACAAGTGTAAATAATATAAGTGATTGTTATTTCTTGATAAATATTATTATCTGTTTTAATATTACGAAAATGCTTAATTTTATCAATTACGCAAATTAATCTGTAGCTTTTTCTTATAATATGGCAAATTACAATACAATATTTAATATGATTTAAGCATTTTTCGATGACAATTTAGTTATCGTCATTCAATTTAAATTAAAAAATTATTTATTGTTTCGCAGAATAACAAAATTATTCACTGTTTTATTTAATATCCATGTTACATTTAGTGATAAGATTAACTTATAACTAACATATTTATATTATAATTATTTTATTATCCACATTTTAGGCAAATTAATTTAGAAAAAAATGGATCAGATAAAAAAATTTATTGAGCCTGGGAAGCAATTCACTAAAGATAGTATTCGCCTTGTTAAAAGATGTACTAAGCCAGATCGTAAAGGTATTCAATATATTATATTACTTTAATTTAAAATTAAATTCATTATAATCAATAATTTACATTAATTTATATAGAATTTCAAAAAATTGCTGTTGCTACTGCCATTGGCTTTTGTATAATGGGCTTCATAGGATTTTTTGTTAAATTAATTCATATTCCTATCAATAATATTATTGTGTAAGTATAATTCATATAAAAATAATTTTATATAAATTATTAATACAATATCGAATATTAACTATTTATTATAAGAAGAATGTATTTCCATTTAATTTATCTATTATCTGAAGCTTCAAATTTATAATGAATAATACTTAACATTGGTCAAAATAATTAAATAGTTTTAAAAAATAGTTTTTAAATAGTTTATTTTTATATTATTTTATGAATATTTATAGTTTTGAGAATAAAATTATCTACTATATGTAATAAAGTTTTATCGAATATTTTATTATAGCAGTTTGTTGTAAATTCTTTGTGTACAACTATTTTCATTTATTACTGCCTTATGATTGTAAGTTATTTTATATTTTCTCTATTAACAGTATAATAACATTACACACATTTTCTACAAATCATAAACACCTAAAGTTTTAAAGTTATATGTTATTTTTTATTAAGAATTATTATATTCTGAATAGAACTTTATTTTCAAAATTAATAAGAATTTATATTTTGTAGCATTTATTTTATAAAAACAACAATCTTGAATATGTAAATAATTTCATCAAAAAATAAAAGAATTGTTAATATATATTAATTGATGCACCAACAATAATATTAGTAAAAATAATAATCTACTAATTAACTTTTAAAGGCTTTATGCCTGTTTTAAGTTAAAGTATAACACATTTCATTTTATTATAAACCAATATTTTCCAGTTTTTATAAAATTTGTTATTTTAAGAAGGGATTAAAAACTCTTAAAGTTAAATATTTTTTTAATTTTATTAAACTGTACAAGCATATACCAATTTTCACGGTTATTTGAAACATAATTGGATTCATAAAATGGATATCTAATAACATTCAAAATTTAATACTTTTATATAAATAGTAATATATTGGAAATTATATTTATTATATTAAATAGAAATTAACGTTTTTCATTATAATATTAAATATTTTAATATGTTAAATGATATTGTCTTTAAATTATTAGATGATAAATTGTATTTTTTCTGTTTTCAGAGGTTCATAAACAAGTTATTATTGTATTTATTATTGTTAAGAATTTATTAACAAATATTTCATCATTCCTGAGTAATATTTTCATTTTCATCTTTGATGTTTATATATTTATTAGATAATAATAACTTAGAAAATAATTATATATTATTTTTGACAAATTAATAAAATCAAATGAATGGAATTGTAAGAATATATTGTTTGTATTAAAAATGTACTATTGAAATTTTGTTAATTTATTAAAAGAAAGACTTGGAATGCTACAAAAACACAGCTATATTTTTTATAACCCTTTATTAGTTTTTCTCACAGAGAAGAAACTTGAAAATTGAAATCAATATCATCATAAACCATTGATCAAGAATACATAGAACTAATGTACTATAATATCGAACAGTCATTATTTTATTACATACTAAATTATAGATTTGTATAGTAACTGTACTATATTGCAATAATATAATACAATATATGTTTACAATATGTACAAAAGCGCTCGCTAAATTTGTTTATAATCAATATGTTCATTGTACTACTAAATAGATTAAATAATTGTTGAGAGTAAAATTCATGTTAGATTACAAATTACTGTTGGATAGTACAACTTTGATTATAAAGAGATTATTTACTATAGATTTTATAATTACTTTTCTTTAGATTTATCTCATAAATATAATTTATTGGAGATAATTTTTTAGTTTAATATATGCATTTGTTTGCATAATAAATGCTTACTATATTTATTAATAAAGTTAAATTTGTAAATATTGTTAATGTATGTACATATAGACAAAGCTCGAATGTTGAATATTTTATATTTATTTTAAAAAGTTGAGTTATTGCACTTCATATAAAATAATTCAAATATTTTTCAATTTTATAACTGATTGTATTTTCTAAATTATATTAAAATTTACTTTCATTCTTATATGTCTTATATAACATTTGTATATATCAATATTGTTAATTATATTTCTAGTTTATAATTTTTGTATATTAAAATTTGTTCATTTTGATGAATTTAGGTATTTAGAAATAGTATCATAACAGAATTATTACAGTATTATAATTTTGTTATATCAAGTAAATATATATTTCAAAAGCGTATTAAAAATGTAGTTAATGCTAATCTACTGTATATTTAAATATATTGTGTTTATGTTTACAAATATCGATTGTTTTTATATGATAGACGTATAACAGAAATATTGTCATCACTCAAGTGCATTGTGTCATATGATTTCTGTCGTCATTTAAAATTTCGATTTTTAATTTATTTTAAAAATATTTTCTATATCCTTTATGTTTAATGCAAAATATTATCATATAAGAGCACAGTTTCATTAACATCGATTGGCATTTAAAATACATTATCTACTTGAGGCGAAAAATACGCGCTAATACAATATAGTGAGGCTTACTATTATATACACAATGACAAAGATCTGATCCAGATATATCAGGATACTATTTAAAAATATGGTTACAATGTTATATTTATATTTTATAATATATTGTCTAAAGAATAATATATCTTTGCAATCTAGCTTCTTGTATACTATAATAAAGAAGATAAATAGTATTTATAAAAAGTAGATAAGCAAATCTTTCAAATCGATAAGTTTTAAGTATCGCAAAAATGTTTTAGTTACGAAATCTTTTATACTAAATATTATCATTTTTTGTTTAATTGCATTTCATTATTTTAAAATATATTAATATTTTGCAAAAATTTTCACAAATTCGTTAAGTTTTATACGAATTGCTATTCGCCTAATTGATTAAAAATATCACTAATACAAAAAGTATATTATCATATAATCTGTATAATGTATATAACTTTTTTTTTCTTATGCATAGATTTTGCAAACGTTTAATAATACTGAATCGAAAACTTGTAATAATATATTTGATTTTGTTGACATCTTTAATAAACACGTATAGAATAATTCCAATATTAAAAAAAATATAAACAAAACTATTAATTCAAATTTTAAAACTTTAAAATAGATTATATTAATTTTTATATAATATATATATTTATATTAGTATTTCAAATAAATACGATTCACAATTTGATACTCTTAATATTCACATTCTAACATTATTTCAAAAACAAAATTTACATACGATTATTAGCATTATTAATTATAGTGTAAAATTTCATAAAAAATCTGTATATAAATATTTCAATATTTATTAAATTAAAGTAGATTAGTAAAAAATATTTTCATTTTAGTTTGAAAATACAATTATTAAAATTTAAAATACAAAATTTATAAAATATCATTAAATACGTAAATTAAAAAATTTATCTTTTTTTCTTATTTAAGAATAAAAAAAAAATGGATCTAATATATGTTTGAAAAAATATGTAATAATAATAATTTAATAGCAAATATAACTGCTTTTGATTTTGGTAGAAATGTTATTGAACATGTATAGAAATATTAATGAATTTTCATTTTCATTGGATAATTTGAATAACAATTGAAGACGTGTTTATATATAAGAAATTACTTTATATTTTTTTAGTTCTAGAATTTTATTATTACAAAGTGAAATTGTACTATTATAATAAATCGAAATAACATTTAAAAATAAACAAAACAAATACATTATAATAAACTTATTAATCATTTTTACAAATAAGGATATTCCATTTTAGTATAATTTTAGTTATAATTAAACTGAATCGAATTCTAAAAAAGTATAGTTTTTATACTTATACGAATTGTACATTTAGTTGAATAACGAACAAATAACAATTATGCTATTAAACGTTAAATATTTAAAAAAATACAATACATTAATTGATTTGATTGAATAGATTATTATTCAATTTATATGCATTGATTATCAATTTTATCATCCAATACCATTTTTCATTTTTTAGTATTTGATCCCAAAATCTGAATATTATTAAATAGCACCAACTTGACTTTAACCAGTTTTTTTTAATAATTATCAACTATGATGATTTTATTTTGTATTAAAAATATATATTGATCTATCATTAGTTGAAAAAAATGATTAAAGCATTTATATATTCCAAATTTATATTTCATATTTTTATATAGAATCTAAAAAATCATGATTCATTAAAAATGAATTTATATAATATATTATACAATGAATATTATACAACTGTTATGCATAATCACAATAAAAAACAACATAATATGTTTTTACATTCCTCGCGAGATTATATTATAAATTTTATTTTTAAATTTTAAAATCGTTATCAGATTTCCAATTTACGATTTCATAAAATGAATCAAGCTCTCTTCAGTGTATAAGTATCCATAGGCATGGATGTATAATTGAAAACAAATCAATTTACATTTCGTTTATAATAAACGTTATTTCTTTCAATTTATTAAATAATTAACCATTTTCATATCATGTAATCACTTGATAAAATATAATTATTTTATAATCTATTTTTTGTAATAATTAGTTTCATGGCATAGTTAAAAATAAAATAAAAAATTTTTTATTTCAAAGTTGTTAAAATATGCTTTTTGAAAAACTTAAATATATATTTATAGTTACTAAATAAAAACTTTTACAAAACAGTATTAAAAGTTTATAATATTCATTTATTTTCCTATATCTCTACATAATAAAATTATAATCTTCTACATGTAGTCGTACAAATTCAATAACTAGCTCAACAATGTATAAAAATTACGAAACAAATATAAAGCAAATATTTCAATCGATTTTTATTGGAATCATTCATCTTTATTGTGTAAAATTCAATAAATCGAATGTAGCACTTTCGATTTAAACGAATACAAATTATGTCAATATTAATATTGGATCATTAGTTTAATTGATAAATATATATTTTTTAAATTACATTATTAATCTAAATTTTAAATTTCATAATTATTATTTTTAATAAATTATTGCATAATCAATATATATTTTTTAAATGGTTGATACACAATAAAAATAATTAATATAAATATAAATTAAAAAAAAATCATTTATACACATAGCCATTAAAAATTTTTGTAATAACACTAAAATGTTTTCATTTGATATTAATTACAATTTTAAAGCGTGAATAAATCAAACGAGCCATTGATTTAGAAAGTGAAAATAAAATTGTAATATGAATAAATATATTACAATCACAATTGATCTTGATTATTCATTCTTATTGATATATGATGAGATATTTATTCATTTAAAATAATATAATACTATGAAAGTTTTGATAATTTGAATTTGGTTTTTTCATTATTGTATTTAGAACGATTAAATTATATTAACAGAAAATAGCTTTAATATATGTCTCGCTAATAGGTGTAATGTATAATACTTCTATATAAACTTTTAATTTAATTAATAATATTAAGTCATAAAGATATGAAGTCAATAGTTACATGCAATTTAAATTTGCAATTTTAGAAATTATTAATCAAAATCATTATATTCAATGCAATTAATTTATATTATAATAAAATAATGCAATATATAATGATTGTTATAAATTTCCTAGGATGAAATTTTAAATTTAAGGCGTTAATTATGTCCCCAAATATATTATAACTGTATATGGGCTGTTTTTGTATGTGTGTGTGTGTGCATGTATGTATGTATGTATGTATATGGTATGATTGCGTATGGTTATGATTCTACAAGTTAGGAGTTTATAAATTATATTCTTGTAATCTTTTTAAAAGATAACTGCTTATCTAATCAATAGTAGCAAGTATAATATATCGTTTTAATTAAATTTATTGTATAGTAGAACGATAAATGATTGTAATCGGTTATTTTTATTTTCATTGAATGGTCTTATAGCAATTAATATTTTTTCTTTCATAAAATTTGTTATTAATAATAATTGAGAAAATAGATATGTTCCTGATATTTGGATGAACCTGCCTGTATATTATTTACAGTATGATATCGTACTGTGTGTCAAAAATATCGATAGCTAGTAAAAAATAGAATATTAAAGAATTTAATTTAGTAAAATAAATAATCTGTTTTTTTTTATGAATTGTTACAGATAGTCTGTATATTGAGTATTCTGTATAGCCGGTAAAGGCCGCGATATGAATAATGTTATAATAACATAATTTTAGAAAAATGTATTTGTTTATATAGAATTATTAATTTGCAAAATCTTTAAAAAATTTTCTTCCTTTAATTACTTAATATAAATTAATTTAAGAATGTTTAATGTACTCACATTATATCGTTGTAAAACATATCTTTTCAGTGAATTTTTTTATTAAATAAGAGTTAAAATCTTCAAATGTGAAAAAGAAGTACTAATATTGATGTAAAACTTGTATAAAATGTACATAACTATTTTCTGCATTTAATGATTATTTTATATTTTCACCCTCCAAATCGATTGCTTATATTAACTCGAATCAGGTGAGCGCTGTTCATGTTTTTTCTAACACATTTTCATATTTTTATTTTTATCGATTCTCATTTTAATTACTACTCGGTAAATACTTTAATAGCTATCTACAAAAAAACTATTAATCGGGAAGATAAAGAGAAAATTGAGTACAAGTATATTTCGGTAAAAGGTTATCAGGATGCATAATTTATTTGTTTTTATAATATATAATATTCTTTAATTTTAACTTGTGAACTGACGGAAGGCACGGGAAAGGATATTACAATATTTTTTTTTTTATCGAAGTACCATACATACTTCTCTCTCATACACACACGCGCGCACACGCGCAGGCACACATACACACGCGCGTGCACGTACGTATGCACGCATCTATAGACGCGTGCATGCGCAATGCACGAACGCATTTTAAATTCCTTGGAGCAGTTGTTTAATAAAAATGAAATTAAAGAAATACGAATAAAATTTAAAAAATTATTTTTGCATCATTCACTACAATAATGTATATAATTTTTTATTGCTTTGCTTCTAATTTGATTGTAATATTTGATTTTGTTGATTATAATATTACGCAGTATTATATTAATTATTAAGAGGTAGATATTCAAAAGCTTCGAGATGAACACCTGATAACTAACTTTTATAATATTCCATTTTGTAAAAAATATCCAAATTTGATTTTGATAAAAATTAAATTGCACATAAATAATATAATGTTTTTAATATGAAACTATAAATAGCTATCCAATAGCACTGGATAATTAATAAATCATAAATTTACCTTATTTTATTTCATAAAACTCATTGCAATAATTTACTTCTGTAAAATGAAAAGTGTTTGTTGAATAAAATTTCTTATAAAAAATAATAAATTGTAGATTATTGGAATGGTTTGAAACTATAATCGAAATGGATTCTTTTATTTATTGTACCACAGTTTTTTAAAACTCGATTTACTTAAATATGTGACAGTTAATACAATACAATTATCAATAATTGTAAAATAAATAAAACTACTTTTAGGATAAGTCAAGTTTAAAAAAAGCTGGCTTTAATAATCCATAATAAATCATTTGATTTAATAACGTTACTTATTTTAAATTGTTTTAAATTGATATCGTATTACATTATTGTATACATATTATGAATTTTAATTTTCAATGTCCCGCATTACACATTTATCTGTATAAAAATATATTTATAAAAGAAAGAATAAAACATTGAATATAAAGACGCATCTCATGGTGGTTTTAGTATTATCAAATTGCAATTTATAGAAGTTACAGGTATAATAAAACTTTTACAAGCAAATCTGATATGCAGCACACGAGATGTACTGCAATACACAAATAATAAAAACAAACAATTCTAAAAGCTTATATTGCATTGACGTATACGATCGAGAAAATAGAATTGTTTAAAGATTTCCAAAGTATAAAACGGCTCATAGAAAAAGAAAATGACAATTTGAAATATATTTCCTTTCGGAACTAATAACATTGAGGGATTAATTCGCTAAATATAAAACATTAAAAAAAAAAAAAAAAAAAAATGAACAATGTGAGCAAGGTTTCGCTCCAAGGAACTGAGAGCACGCGTTTATCATCCAGACGAACATCTCGTCGTGAGTGACTATCGATCATCAGTGGGTGCCCAGTCGCTGGCTGCCCACGTGGGTAAGGGTGTTTCGTACTCCCATCCAGGACCGCAATAGCGCCACGCGTGTAAGTACATTACGAGGTCCGAGGGCTTTGGGTCCCTGTACTTCACTTTGCACTCATAGCAGTGGGGATCGATGCTAACTTTTTCGTTAGCAAATATCGAGTCTGGAGGCTCCGATCCCGTTTGCGTACCTACAGTCACTTTTAACAGTTGCGTTTGCGGTTGTGATTGATGCCCTTGTTGTTGTTGCTGCTGTTGTTGCTGTTGCTGCTGCAAGCATACATAAATATCCATTTTACTATAGAGAACGAGTTTTACAATATATTTTGAATTAAGATTCTTTTTTTCATAGTAGTTTCTAAATAAATTTTATTTGAATTTCTTTTGTTCGATAATAATTATTAAGTGTTAAATAAATTAACAAATAGAAACTAAGTATATATTATTTCTAAAAATTTTATAATTTAATATATATATATATATATATCTGTGAATATATAACAGGTATCGATAAAATTTAACAAATTAATTTAATTATTTAGAGTGTATAAACAAATAAATATTCACACAAATATCAAATAAACGGAAGGATTGATAAATTATTTATCATTTTACCTGAGACTGCTGATCGTCTTCCGAAAGACTTGGCGTCGAAGAGGGTGAACCTTCTTTATCACTGGAAATTCTGTCATCAAGGTCCAGTTTCGGTTTAAAGAGACTCATTTCCGAATCACCTTCCATCCCGAGCCAATTTTCAGCATTGTGAATACTAATAAGATCGCTAACAAGTTCCTCGTCGGTTTTACCAATATTACCTCCCTTACCCTTGTGTGGGCCAAAGACCACATGATTATAAAGTGGATCGTTGACAACTGGATAGCCAAGGTACTGGAGATGTACGCGTATCTGGTGCATACGTCCGGTTTGCGGTTTGCACAACACCACTGACGACTTTCCGTTGTAGCTCAATCGTTTAAATTTAGTTATGCAATCTTTTCCCTTGTCTGAAATTTTGCAGACACCAATTTTGTAGGATACGACTTCTATTGCTTCGGAACAAATGATCTCTTCCTCTGGGAATTCACCTTCAACTCGGCAGACGTATTGTTTATGTACCTAAACTCGATGTATAAGACTCATTAGCTTACATATTTGAAAAAGAATACATCTTTCGAATTGAAATCAATGTTTTTCATTGATGATTATTAATATTTTTCTAATTTAATATTGAAAGAAATTAGTAGTATTATTTGTGCAATATATATATTTATATATATATTAAATAATAGTTAACGGATAACTTTTTTTTTAAATAATGAAAACATTGATTTCAAAATGGTTCTGTATGATAGAAAAATATAAAAGAGATGTATACTTCTATATATTGTGTATTTTTAATCTGAATTAATAGTGATTAATTTAAATGTAATCTAAAATCACATCGAATACTCTTGATTAATTATTAATAATTTTTATTACATTCAAATTAATTTATTATAAATAATAAGGTGAATAGTTTTTCAATTTTTTAAAAATAAAGATACCTATATTATTGTATTATTTTCTGTTAAAATATAAACAAATTTTATAATGCTAAAAAAGAGAAAAACAGAATTGAGAGAAAAGAGAGAAACCATAACTGATTTCCATCAATTTTTATAGTAAACCATATTTCAATAACCAACAGTTATCAATATTTAAATGTATTTTTTCATCAACTTGACCTCACATTATAATTATAATGTTTAACCCCATAAAGTATGGCGCCCACTTTGATATATGTTAATTAGATAACTTATATAATTTTTAAGAAATTTTATAATAAAATTAATTGTTTTGATTTTATGCATCAAAAAACAAAAATATATATAATATTTTCACTGAATATTCAATTTCATATGCTAAGTAATACTACGCATAATAAATAAGTTAATTATAATATATTATATTAATAAGAAAAATTTAACAATTACACTTTTTAATATAATTTTATAAAATTATTTTATCGTTTAATCTGAAATAGAATATGAAATAATTTATAACTTTTCACTTTTATCATGACATTATCTTTTAAATATATATTGCAAGGTTTTAATGAAAAATAATAAACGATATTTAGGTTTTAATTGAAATAAACACTAACCTGTCGATTTCTAATCTGATGCTCCATCTGCCGAGCTTTTTTGGGCGTTCTGCCAAATAGTAAAATACCACTGGTCAATCTGTCCAGCCTATGTATCGTCCGAAGGTTTTTCAAGTTGTATTCCTTAGCCAAAATAAACACAACAGTGTTATGACGATAGCGACCGCATGGATGAACCTATAATATGGACCACATTTACTTTACATTGTCTTCAATATAATTTTACATAATTTACTAATTACTAAAAAAGAGTTGCTTTATTAATTAAGAATAATATTCCATAACGTGATTTTAATTCTATTTGGATGTAGTTGATTAATTGTTGTTTATTAAATTAAAATGTGTTTTTAATTTTTCTATTTCAAATTCAATGTTATTAAATTATAATTAAAAATCCTAACGAAATATGAAGGTAGATTACTACAAACATTTAGGGTATGAAATTATGTAGGCATTTTGTAAAATGTTAGAGTTAAAAATATGTTTTAAGAATATAAATAAGATATGCAAAAGTGATAATGAAGGGATAAGAAATATTCCCATGTTGAAATGAAAAATAGTAAAATTTTTTTATAGTATTTGTACAAAAAAAAACAATGAAATAGCTCAATATTTGTATTTATAAATTTAATTAAGTTTTTTTATTATTTTTATTCATAACATATTTTTGATGATCGTTGTTGCTGTTGTCACCGTTATTAGATTTATGATATTTTTTTAGGATATACGAGGACAGAAACAGTGATCAAAAGAAAATTTCTTTCATATATATATTTCGCCTATATATATATATATATATATATATATATATATATATATATATATATATATATTACAAAAATATTTATATATACAAAAAAATTAACAGTTATCCTCAATCAATCAAAATTATGTGATTTAAGAATGCTAATGTGTTCATACTATACCATCGTAAACAAATATCTTTCTAGTGAATTCTTTTTTATTCAATAACAGTTAAAAAAGAAGTACTAATATTGATATAAAACTTGTATAAAATGTACACAACTATTTTCTGTATTTAACGATTATTTTGTATTTTCACCCTCCAAATCTATTGCATATATTTACTTGAATTAGGTGCCCATTTTTCATGTTAACGAACTTGGAACAGATAATAAAATATTTCCTTTTACACACATATATTAAAAAAATTAACTATAAAAAATATACACACAAAGAAATTAACGTTGTACAATATTATATTATTTAATACTAAATTTGTTTTATTAAAATTTTTAAATTTTAATAAAATTGACAACTACTTTTCGTATTTATAAATAAATTATACTATTTATAATTAAATATACCATTTCTTTAATAATATCGGAATTGATATTTTTTATTCTATTTTAATTGTGTATTAATATAAAAAATTAGTTAATTTACTTTTATAATGAAAATAATATTATTCTAAAATATTAAAGTTCAGACTTCTGTTAAAACTTCAAAAATTATTTATATCAAATAAAATGGAGTCTCTGTTTTTTATTTACTAATGAAATTGTTTTTACTCATATTTCTTATGAATATATCTATTTGGATCAACACATGAAATAAGAAACGACAGTGTATAATGTATTGTTTATACACATATTGTAAAGAATATTGTCAAAATAAAGGTGAATTAAATATAAAATAAATCTGAGGATTCTACTATTTATATGTCATTAATCCGAAAAAACTTATGTGAATACTATTTCACAACTTAGCCATTTAAATTCATAAATTTATTTTTTAGTAAAAATGTGATCACAAGAAATTGTTTTTGAAATATTTACATATTTATTGTTTGTATTTATATTTGTTGTTGCAAATTATTCAGATTATTTTAATTTAAATAATTAGAACTCGATTCATGGGGAGTGAGGGAGGGAGGGAGGGGGTAGATGATAATAAGGCGTAACAATTTGGGATTGGAATAAAAGTACTTTAATAGATTTATCTTACTTGTCTTAGGGAAAATATTTTTACAGTAGTACAAGGGAAACAACTACAACTTTATATATTTTTCACAATATAATATATTTATTTTATTTCTTAGAAATTTCGAAAAAGATGAAATATTCAATATAATAAATTTTCTTTGTTTATTTTGTATTCAGTTATATTTAAAATCTTCTATATATCAGTAATATATTTTGTTAAAATTGTATAATGAAATTATTTTTGCTAATAGAAAGAATGCAAATTATTATTAGACCTCTCCTATACATTTAAATAAATTATTTTTTATTAACAATAATTTTAAAAAATATTAATTTTTTTATTAAACATCATACGTGTATTAAATACTTGTATGTTGAATTTTTTTCTTTTTAAAAAGATTATGAAAGATGAAATTATTATAATGACAGTTTTAGTTTTTAAATAATATAATTCAGGTTTTTTATTGTAAATTCGTTTTATGAAAATTGCTTTGAATCTTTATTATCTATTTTTAAAAAACAATGTTTTTATTATTCATATTTATATGTAAATGATTTGTTTTCATTCTTTGTTATATTATTTTGAAAACAATTTCAATATGCAAGAGATATAAATAAGGCATACTAAATATTTTAAAAAATTCAGCTTTCTTAATTATATATGCCAAGTTACCAAGTTTACCATTTAACTAAAATTTTGTCATAAATTCGAATTAGAATATATAATCTAGATAATTGAATTGATTAAAATTAATTTTGTTACATAATACGTACAAATAAGCAATAAACCTACGAATTATAAGTTTTCATATTAATAATTGTTTATTTGAATATATTATATTAAAGAAATCCATGTTTACATTATATGTTGAACTCTCGAATTGTATTTATATCGGAAAAAGTGTATTCAATCAAATAAAGCCTATTTACGTTATGTCGCGTTGTTTATTATTTTGATTTCACGTTGTTATATTGAATCGATAAAAAATATTAATCATCACAAAAAGGTAAATGTAATGATCAATAGTCATTTTAAAAATAAATGTTTGAATGGATGTTTGTTTCTGGAATGGAAGTTTCTTTAGTTTGGTTTACATATATTTTGAAAAGACATTGATACTTATAATTTAAGGATTAGTCTATTTAACAATTTTCCTTTGATTTATTGTTTAAAAATTAAGCTGTGTAATATTTATGAATTGATTTTATTGAATTTATTGGAATTCTAAATTATATGAGATATGATCAATTATTAATAATGTAAGTAACATTATTGAAATAATTATAAACTAATTATTTTATATAATAATATTTATATAATATTAATATTGTTCATAATTAACATTATTATTTAAAAAGCAGTAAATTGTCGGGTTTGTTTTTTTATTTCATAATAACTGGATAATAAATATTGATTTTTTAATATTAAATGAAAACATACATATATATATATATATATATATATATATATATGTATGTACATTTTCTTAGAAAATAATTTTTTTAAAAATATATTTCAAAAAGACCTCTAAGCTACATATATATTTTAAATTATTCATTTAATAATACGAAAATAATTTTTAAAATGAATTACAGCAGCGTTTTTAAAAATCAGCGTTCATTGGAAAGTATTTGAAAAAGAGACAAATTTTGGAAGATTAACACGACTTTAAAGAGAAGCTTCAAAAACACGCATTAAACTATCTGCCAGAACGTAAACGACTTGCGAAAAAAGTCATGTCAGCGCGTTTGACTTCCGTGCAGTTCTCCCTCGAAATCAGATAAATCTGGCACTTGTCTTTCTTCTTTGAACTCATTTCTCCCACTTCTCAGTTTTCTCTTCAATTCTCGTAAAAATATTTTTAGTCCATTGTGACTAGGACTTGCTTAACGTAAGATGAATGAAGATGTCCATCACTATGACCTAAAGTGTATATAACGAAAATAATGTATAGTTCCAATATATGGATTTCGATTACATGATATTACATAATTTCTATATCATTTTCCAAATGGATTTTGAAAATATTATTTTTAAAAAATCTTATTTTTAAGATTATCTTATTTTTAAGAACGTATCGTCTAATTTATATTTATTTAAAAATATTTTACATTTCTTTAGATGTTCTTTAGATGCATTATAATAATATATATTCTTTTTCATCAATGTAAATATAGTTAAGTTTAGAATTATAATTAGTATTTATTGACATTTATCTATATGATTTAAAATAGTCGTATTTATGAATTTTATAATATTTTTATTATAAGGAGTAAATATATTTGTTTTTATATGGTTTCAATTTTTCCCAAAATTATTTCAAGTTCAATTTTATAGGATTTTTTTTCTTTTTGCAATAAAATACTTCAATCTGACTATAATGTGATAACTGAAATAAATGTATGTAATTTACACAGATTACGTAAATAACATGTAAAGTTGACTATGTTATGAAAACTGATAAATAATCATATTACGTATAAATAATATATATTAATTTCCGTGATTCATAAAATGTTATTTATTAATGTTTACATATACTGCAATAAAGCTTCAAAATGTTTTCACTAAAGAACTTTTCTAAAAAGAAAAACGATATATTATCATGATTATAAAAATAATGGTTAAGTATTATGTATTAATAATAATAAAATATGAAAAATTACAAGAAGTTGAATGAAAAATTTAGCATACAATATTTAATGAGATTACTATTATAGTTTTGTTGATTAAATATAAGTAATCGAAGCAACAAGATCAATATAATATGCAAGGAATATAATTTATAAAATTTTATAATATCTAAATTAAAACTACAATATTTTTAATTACGGGTAAAAAATTATATACATTCTAAATTGGGATAAACCATTATTTATATAATATATTTGTGCTGACAATTATTCATACATAAACATATTATTTAAAGAACGCTTTAATTTTAGATGATCTGTATGATTAAATTATGTTAATAAGTTTTTATTCATCCACTTTATAGAATATATCAAGTAATTTTTATTATTAATAAACAAGTGTGACAAGTAATATTAAATACGTATTATCGTATTTGATCATATATTTAAGTTTGTTTTATAATCCATTTGATAATATATATCGTAAGGCTTTATTAGTATAGATGGTTCTTTTCTTCTAATATGTATGCATTAAGATGTAGCTATACGAAATTTTCTAAAGGTCCCAGAATTATAAAAGATGAAACATAAAAAAGTAACTAAAAAAAAAGTCAACTAAATATTTTCTTTTTAGCTAACAAGTATCGAGTCTTCTCTAGATTAACAAATTTCAATTCTACTGCTTTTATTAATTTTCTTATCTTAAATATGTGTAACATTCTTTTGCCCAAGATGGACGTATATCCTTGTAGAATAAAAAAATGATATTCAGTAAGAATATTTTATCTACAATATCGCACTCACCTGGACTTTTACAATATATTTAGTAATCAAGTATATTAGTCAATATTTTTGGTATTTGTAGTTGTCAGACCGCGGAAAAATTAATCCAAATGCATGACGCACGATTCATATTTACCCGGTATAGAGTATAGGAACGAATTAAATTTGGTTCAGAATTATATTAGTAGTTAAAGCAAAGAAAATGTGTAAGCAAGGTTCTGATAGAGTGAAGGTCGACGAATGAAGTCAAATCGGTAAGTAATAATGTTGGGAAAGGATTCGAAATCGACAAAATAATGAAGTTTCAGGCCACTTCGTAAAACACTTCGTCATATCAAGCATGAAAGATAATTAATGAAGTACGATAGCGACTAGCCATCAACTAGAATACGTATTCTCCGATATCATACCGAGACAAGCATTGACGTGGGATTCTTCTCCTTCAAATTAAGAAAATAAATGAAATCGACTCTATTTAAGGAGTTAGCAGTTCACCTATGTAATTCGCACCCCAATTATATAAAGTATTTTATATTTGTACTCGCAAGTGAAAGCTTTCAAATTACTATTAACATTATTGTCATTATTAATTATTAATAATTAATTAACACATAAATTAAAATTTATAATACTAATGCTTATGTGTGAAATTAGTATCTTACTAAAGTACAGCAATAATATTTCAGTTAATTTATTAATTCTAGATATAGATTTTCTGATCTTCAAGAATTATAAAAATTCCATATTTTTTCAAAATAAATTAATGTGAAATTATCAATAAAATATAACAATGAATCTATAAGAAATTATCTATTCGAATATAATTAAATATTATTTATTTAATTTATGTTGAAACAAAGAATATTCTTAAATGTATAAGTTAATTTTTGCATCTTTATCAATTGAATAATAATTCAAGACTTTATTCTGAAATATTAAATTCGCATTCCTTATCAATATAAAAAATATTAATTAAGATTTTAATAACATATTAACTTAGTTTATTTCAGTAATTTGCATTTATCATTTAATGTTCATCTTTTCTTATATACAATAATACAAAATATTTATACCTAAATAATTATCGATAAATTTTTATGAAATTCATGTATATTTAATTTATAATCACGATAAGTTTTTAACTAAACCTTTATACCTTTTTATTTAATGTTTAAGTCAATAAATTGTTGATCAATCGATTTTTTTAATATATATTTTAGAAAGTTATATATATCTTGTTATATAAAAACTAGATAAATAAATAACGAACACATGTTATAATTTTAATTAGTAATTAATGCAATAACAAATATAATTTATAAAAGTAAAGAAAAAAAATATTCCAGATGAAATTATGCTTTATAATATATTTGTATAGATTAACATTTTATAACGATAATTAATTCCTTTAGAAAATTTTTATAGTTAAATAATTAAAATATTTAAATATATGCAACCTAGACTTTACAAATAGCACTCATTTAAAATTTTTTCTTTAAAGTACTACTAACTTTTTACATTATTGTTTGTTGTTAAATCCCGAAATTTTAATTAAAAATGAAATACTTTTGATTTATGTATTTAATGAATATGGTTAATACTCATATATATCAATTATCATTAATATATAAAAATGAATAATTATTTTTATATAATTCCTTTTGTTTCCAATGAATAATATATCTTATTCGATTATTAAAAACATTTAATTATATATTTACTTAAACAATACTTTACATATATATTTTATAAGGTAAGATTGAAATTTAATTGAGAATATTTAGTATCGAAATTTTAATCCTTAATTTTTATAAGTTAAACAATTTATTTGTTATTTTATACGACCAAATAATTGATAATATTTATTTTAAATGCTTTATGAGATGTAACGTAGATATCTGATTTCATGCTACGATTATGATATGAGTATGATTCAAAAGAAAAAGTATTAATAGTCTCGATAGGTATACTTGGGACGAAATAATCTACAAAAAAATACACGAAAACTCTCGGAGTAAATTCCCGGTGAAGTAAACCCGACTACTTTTTCAATAGAATAGAAATTATAAATTATTAAAAATCGAATTTACACATGTATCAAATTACAAAACCATTTACTTTTTTCACGTCTATTTCATTAGTACTTAATTTAATCGGATACTGTAAATACTTTAAATAATATGTAATGCAGAACCATATATAAGGTATTGTAAAAATAAATTGTATATTAAACTTTATGTGTACTTGAAAAAATATGAATAATCAGAAGGTAGATATAGCAACAGTAACAACCGTAATAACAATAGCAGCAGCAACCACAACAATAATAGCATATAATAATTAAAACAGTAATGATAGAGAGAGAGAGAGAGAGAGAGAGAGAGAGAGAGAGAGGCAGAAAGTACAAGTATAATGACAATTAGTAAGATTTGGCAGTACAGTCCTAGCAGTACACCACTTACAGGGATGGAGGCGGGCTTGTTGACCACGACGACGTCCTCGTCCATGTGTATCACCGTGATCGGCTCCGAGGTGACTGGCACCTCGTGTCTGCAACACACCAATCACCACCAGTTTAACATGGCTTTTTTAATCCTTCGCTAAATTTTCTTAACTTTCCTTTTTAGTTTTATACGTATACGTGTACATAAAGGAAGAAAATAGCTTAATTAGACAAATATAAAAATAGGTAGAAATTATATTTCCTTACAATAATTTAATATTAAAAGTTAAATTATACTTCTGCTTATTATGATATAAGAATTCTTATATTTTGCTCTTTTAATAAAAATTGTCACGATTTTACATAGGAAGAATGATTTATATCAATTATTTCGACTCATTTTAATCATAAATTTATTTTTAGCAAAATTTTAAATAAAATTAAAATTGAAATATTGACAGACGTTATAAGTATCTCCTAATATTGACTATGCAGAATACACAATTTATTCGTCCATCTATTATTTGTTTTAATATCATAAACATTAAAATAATATAATTAAATATTAAAATAATAAGTCTTTTAATATCTTTAATATTTAATATTTTAAGCTCATTTAATATTTACTAAGGTTAGTCAAAAATATAATAGGCAAAAAACATATACATATCTCTATAATTAAATAGGCATTTCTTAAAAATATCAAAAATTGAAATAACAAATATATTATATAAATATAAAAATAAAATAGAATAGATTTCATTTTAGTAAAATGTTTTAAAAATAATAATATAATAAATTTTTCATATTATATTGACAATCTTTATCGCTATTTTAAATATGTATTTTCTTCATTATACGCATATGCATTATCCTATACTTATGCATTTGCTGTGAATGTTTCAAATTTTGTATTTTATCAAATTGTTTGATAATCCTTATTTTGAACTCCATAAATATTCTTAAGAGTTAAGAGTATACTTTTTGCAAGTATTATAAGGAGAAATTATAAATTGTTTTACATTTGTGAGATTAGTATTATTGAAGTTTGAGACTTAAGATTTAATTTATTTGGAGTTAAAATACAAGAATAATAGAATATGATGTTAAAATGATAAAATATATTTTTGCTTTATACCTAAATAACAGGTTACTGTTAAAATTGGCTTAATTATGTTTTAAGTTGCACATGTCATTAATAAATATACAATTAGATCTTTCAACATTATGTGATGAAAGTAGATATATTTATGTATATTCATGTTTTGTAATACTATTGATATACATTATAATAAACTTCTTATACAAAATGGTGCATTAATAGAATTGATTATATAATTATGTAGCAACAGTTTTCAATTATAAAATTTGTATATATGCCAATTGGGCATTTAAATACGTTTTGCCCTAATTATACCTAAAAAATTTTTATGAAAATTGCATCTCTTTTTTATGTCATATATAAAATTTTCATTTAAATAAATGAATATGATATGATATTAAAGTACATAATTAATGTTTAATGCAAGCTAAAGAAAAATATTTTATCATAATTATAATGATTATAAAGATACATAATATTTATAATAAATATATCATATACGTTAGACGTAACTTTGAGTATGTGTTTAATGTTTTGAATGAACGATCTACAGTGATGAACGGGTCTACAGTATGGAATCATAGTTTCAAAAATGATTGATCAACTAATAAAATTTAAACTATAATGTAGTGTAATGTCGTGGCCTAATAATAGTGGTAATATTAATTTGATAACGGCAGACAGAAGTGTATTATATTTGTAATGGTTTGTAAAACTAATATTGGCTAATATTGATTTTAAGCTATTTCATTTAGCGTATTCATGCGTTAACAGCATTGATTCAATAACTGTATTAATTTATAAACGAAAAGGGAGAAAGCATATTCAGTTCAGCATGTAAACAAATTTTGATTTAGAGGCAGTGATGTAGATGCTTAATGAATACCCATTTACAACAAAAATTAAACATATATAAATATTTCGGCTGTTATTTTATTTTCAGTTTAGCCTTTTATTCCTTAAATGCATAACATATTTAATTTTATCTTGAAATCGTATAATTTGATTATTTTAAACTTTTTTAAATATATCTAATTTTAAGTGTTTTCATTTTTAATAAAGTATTGTTTTACTCACATAGACAAATATCAGTCAATTTGTTATGATAAATTAATATTTATTAGTTTAAATATTATTATCAATTGTTATAATGTGACATTTTTTAATAACACAATAAAAACAAATCATAAATTAAATAAATAACAATTTTATGCGAATACGTTAAAATCACGAAAAATAATATTTTCTGATTATTTAATTTTTGGAACATTTGCTATTAATGTAATAATAAAGTATATTTTATTTGATAATACATTCTATGAAATCAAATTCAATTTTTAAAAAATTTCATATAAAAATTGTAATATCTCTGCTATATAACAAATTATTTTAACTTAACTTTTTAATCTTACCAAACGTTGGGAATGTTAAGATTCAAGAATATCAATCTCGATGACAGATGAGTGGTACACGAAAATCTATTTTCTGGTTTTAAAATAACTTAAAGTTAAGTACGTATGGTACGCTTTAAAATGGTTATATAATTAAATACGGTAGGTATTTAGAATCTATTTTAAAAATTAATTATTTAGGGATAAGCGGAGGTATTTCTATTTATAATGTTTTTGAAAAATATGAATATTTCAATTTTAATACTTAATTGAATATAAGTTTTAAACATTTTTAAATTTGTTAAACAATGCAAAAAAATTGTATTGTTATAGAGCAAAAACTTTTAAATTACCTTAAAACATTATTGTACATTTTTTTATACATTTAAATGTATAAGTGAATTCATTTAGCAAACATAAATTATTATTATTATTATGTATGTACAATATGCAGTTATTATATTCTAAAAAAAAAGTTTCCAAGATATTCTAAATTGGATATAGACCATATATTAATATCATTACTCAATTTGTTAAAATCAATTAATAAGAATTATTTGAATATAATAATATTTTTAATAATTCTATATTTTAAAAAAGTTTTAACTTATATTATTAAATTCATGTTTATAAAATTATATTAAAGTACACATTTGGAAACAATTAAGTTAAATAAAATATTTACTACGAAAATTTTAAGATTAAGGATATGTTAATAATAAAGAGTATGTAAATTATATTATAACAATAAAATAAATATGAATAAAATGACAAATAACAAAGCATGAAAGATTTTGAAATTATTACAATATGAAATCACATGCTAGATATAATTGTTATACAAATTAAAAAAAAAGATTTACTTCAATTAAAAAAAATATTTTTTTGTAGATTCTGAGCTTTTTATTTAAATTTTTTAGGTTAAAAAAATAATAGGACTTAACGATCTACGAAAAAAAATTAAGAACTTTATAGAGATAGAGAAAAGCGTAACTCAATTTCCTAATACTGAATATCCTGACTCTAAAAGCATTCTCTCGAATTTGCGGATTTGCAATGTACACGGGAATGAACGATGATTGAAAATAGTTCCCGCAAGTATAATTTTATTAACGTTAATATACGAAAATTAGAACGGAATGTTTGATGAAACAATTAATTTCTGCAAAATCCAGCTTCACATATATTTTCTTTGGTATACCTGTGGTAACACACGCATGTAGCGATTTTAATGTAAATTGATGCAAGCATAAAAGTATATTTTATATGCTTATGCTTTAAATTCGTAATATAATAAAAAATAAAAATTATTTATTTCATTTTAGAATTATATAAGAAAACCTATAGATTTATAATTATTTGTACAAAATCTATGATTTTCATATAAAGTATAGATTCAAAGGTATGATTATGCTTGATTCGATTAATTGCGTTAAATATGCTCACAGCTATTAATTAATGAAATATTTATATTATAATAATTCTTCTTAAGATATTTTCTTTTTAATTTTGTAATAAGATTTTGTGGATATATATATATATATATATAGAATTATATACGTAATATCAATTTAGTGTATTACAAATTAATATATACAAATGCAATTATTTGAAAAAAGAAAGACGCGAATACAGGGTAACAGGTTTTTTTTTCTTATATGTGAGTTACCCTTTGAATTAGAATTGTGTATCATCTTTAGGTAAGCGATATTTACTGGGTGTGGTTTGGCTTTTCACAGTATTCGTGTTAATGATGAAATACAGAAGACTGGCATATGAGGTATATCGTCTCTTGTGGCGCAAATTGCCTATAATAACCTAATTAGTAGGTGTGGTCGACTTAAACGTCAGGAGATTTATATCTCAATAGTACAAAACTTTCCTTTTCCCTAGAATCTCTTTGTATTTTACTATTAATCCATATTGTAAGTAAATTAATTTTATTTAACTATTTTTTAAACTGATTTCATTAACTCAATATATAAAAGGATGCTATAATTGTGTTCATATTAAAATAGAGATCTTAAATCGAACAGAGAAAGATATTACTTAGTTTCTATTACAAAAAGATTTTTTTTGCAATATTCATATTTTTATATTAGATTTAATATTTATTATGTAGAATTTCAAAGACTATAAAAATAAACGAGAGTTAAAGTTTACATTTTTAACAGTATCTCATTAAAATTGTAATAAAACAGTATGTGATTACATGTGGTAAATTAAGATTTTTATAAGATGATAATATTAACATCAAAGAAGACTTGAGACCGATTTCAATTCTTATCTCTATTGAAACGCATTACGGAATACATCTATTCATCAAAAGACTCTCACTTGAAAAAGTACGATAGAAGTACATACAGATATATGTACACATCAACATACTTTTTTCAGTTCATTTCTATTTTCATAAATTACAATTATATATATTATAAATATATTATAATGCAATTATATAATACTCTGATATACATACAATATTATCGATCTTTCTCTGATTTGGGAAGATTAGAGCGTTACATGCATAAGTATAATATAATCGTATAAAACCAAATCATATATACGTATATATAAATACACACGCACGCACGCATATCAAACAGACACAAAT